ACATGCACATTTGTATTTGATCACGGTACCAGCTTGAGAATTGGTTCTAACTGTTTTACTATTTGCTTACAAAATGTCCAATTAAGAAGAGTCACATAATCTTAAGGCTGTACTTTTATAAGCAGCTTGGGTTAAATTAATATGCGAGACAGATTACCTTCAATTACAAATCAGCAAAAGTTATTATGCAGCTCTTGCCCTTTAGCTTTACAAGGCAGTTATTCTCTTATAAGCCATGGGTTCAGGTTTATAACTGTAATGGTTGGTATTCTGCCTCACCGCTCTCATTAGGCTGGTTTCCAATGGCAACGGTCCCTTTTTTCCACAGCAGAAACCTCTGATGAACCTCCCCTGCATCGAGCAGCAGTCAAATTCAGCTATCCACTTGCCCATAAACTTTGTAGCACATTTATCAGCTGTAGACTAATAAAGGCAAGCTCTCTTTGTTTGAGAAAGTCACGTGTCTGCAAGCAAGCCCACCATATCTTTTATCTCAGGATATTTCTATTCAATACAGGTTTAGCCTTTTTTGCCCTATAGTGTGTAAAGATAGGATGCTCATTCATGCAGCCTTGAGCTGAAATTTTCAATAAAACAATAACTTGTCAAAAATGTACAGTACAAGGTTACAGAGGGCTTTTGTAAGTTGTGGGCCTGGAGTGCAGATAATCATGACTGCAGTTTCCTGGTGGAGAAAAAAGAAGATATTTCCTCATTAGCTGTGGTTTTGAGACAGCTGAAGGACTTAGGCTACTGATTTATTGAAGTTGTTATGTTTTGGAACCTTGTTGTGACCCTAACCAGCACCGTAAGTGGGGGTGATAAAATAGACATTGTGAGGGAGTTCAAGAAAATAAAGACATAGGCCCTTAGATGGATAACAAGCCAATTTACAAAACATGTAGTTTCAAATTTTGTTCTTAGCTTATTCTGCATAATTTGTTCAATGATTGGAAAATATTTAAGTGTCCATAATAAGCATTGCCATAATTGAGATTTCTTACAGAAAAAAAAGCATGCTACAATATACACTGAAAAATTTCTAACAAAATTTTGTGAAATTAGGCCTTTAATCCTATTTTTTCCTGCTGCTGCTAAAATAAAATATTCTATTAGGTATGTAGATGTAGTTAAATTTATTGTAGTACAGTCCATCTGTTCTTTTAATACATATATTTAAGTAACATATTACAAACAAAATGTGCTAAATGACTTATGTGTTTTAAGAAGATCTTCTTATGTTTGTAATATATTTGTCATTTTGAACTTTATGAGTGACAGTGTGAGTTAAACAAGCTGCTGCTCCTTGAGATAAATAGTCAGGGTAATTGCTCAGGTTGAAAGTTTGTTGTTGACTACTGAAGACACCCCCATAGCTTATACTTTTAAATGGACCTCACTCCCTTAGTTTCCAAACCATGTTTCCTCTTGTTTTGTATTACCCCCAGATATTTTGGAACACTTAAATGTATGTTTGGTTTTTGAAAATCAAACTAAGATTGAGTGTTTTGGTTCAAGTAGAATTACCAACTTTTTTTTTTCAAGATTTTATCTCTGTCTTGTGTTTTATTGTTGTGCAGTTCTCTGTTTGGCTAGTTTGCTGGATTTTAAGGTGCCCCTGTATATATTTAATGAAAATTGTTCAGTATTTATATTCCACAAATAATTTATACATAGCTATGTAGCTATAGCTAGCTATAGATATCAGAAGCTTACATACAGTAGCGTTACACTGTTTTTAAACTGTTTTAGATACCCTAGATCAGGCATCTACAAGGTCGGTCCTTGAGGGCCTCTATCCTGCAGGTTTTAGAGGTTTCCCTGTTCCAGCACAGCTGATCTCCATTGATAGTTGATTAACAGGCTTTTGCTGAACAGAAATCATCAGAATCCACTGTGCTGAAACCTCTAAAACCTGCAAGACAGCAGCCCATAACGACAGAATTTGGGAATGCCTGCCCTAGATTATGATGTCATGGCTTGCAAGTTTCTAAAGTTTTAGGGCCAAGATGTACTCCTGTATTTGGTTGCCATGGTGGTCTGTGCGCACCGTGCAGGAAATTAAACAGAAGTCCTGCTTCTGAACTGGCAACTACACAGAAATAGATGGTAGAATTAATCTGGAGGTATACCTGACGGTACACAGACGGAGATGGGAGGACGAGAAACAGACCTGACTGTGTAGCCCATACAAATCTCTTTTTTTAGATAAAATTTAGTTTAAAAAAGCTGGTTTACTAATAAAGCGGAATTCATTTATAGTGTGGAAAGATGTTTCAGACTTTATTTATGTTGGAGGTGATGGAAATAGAAACCAAAATCCTGGTTTATATCCACAAGTATCGCAAATAAACTCACCTCTAGCATGTGCCAGGACTTTGTCTATGCTGTTTTCAGTTACTCAATAAACAGTTACAACACTTCATTTTACAATATTGTGCCTCTTGAACCTTCTGGGCCATATGATGTTTGTACAGCCAAAGTTGTTTCGTTCTTGGCAACTCAATAAACTGCCATTCAGAACGAAGCTGATGCGCGTAATCGGCACCAAGATACGAAAAGTCAGAGTAGCGATACCTTGCGCGGGGGCTGTATGAGCCGATTGCGCTCTGGGACAGCAATTTTGTTTCACTTTTGGCACGCACACCATCACACCCTGCTCAATGCGGCATGTATAAACCAAACTTTTATTCACAACATTTGATGTGCAAATATCTGATGCCTAAAAGTGGCAACTTCATCTTTCTAAACGGTTAAATGCAAAATTAATCACCATTAGAATGCCCAGTCATCTTATTGTTAAAGTAGCATATGGATTTTTTCGCTTCGAAGTTAAAAATGTTCAAATGTGCATATTAACTGAAGAGCAAATGCAAATGATCTCATGAAGATATCTGCTGAAACTGGTTAGAAAGTGTCTTCATCTACAGTCAAACACGTGCTGCAACCATTGAGGGCTGTAAAGCCAGTCTGAGAGGAAAAAATAAGTATTACATAAACAACATAAAAGGTCAGATCACAGTTCCATTCCAAAAAAGAAATGTTTGCAAGCCTGAGCATACTTTTCCAAATATGCAGGTGTTCATATTGAGGAGGTGTTTTGCTGCAGGGTGTATTGGTAAACTTCACAAAGTAGCTAGTGTTTGGAAGAAAAATATACAGGTACTGTGAAAGTAAAGCGCCATCTCAAGAAAGGAAAGGATCTTAGGTACAAATAGGTCTTCTTCCTCTAGAAATATTTATGTTAAATTTGACTTAACTTCTCTTTTTTGTGTGGGAGTGTTCAGCTCTAGCCTTGCATTCTCTCACAGCATCTCTGCGTCATTTCTGATAGCTTCACCTTGGCTCTGTCACAGCAGTTTCTAATTTCCTCTGATTAGGTCTTATGATTTGTCATTTCTCTCTCTCTCCCCCGCCTTAGTATATATGCTCATAGGTTCTATTTGTTCCCCACTGATAACTCTAAAACTTCGCCTGTTTTTCCTAATTTTCCGTTCTTGTTTTCAATTAATGATCCCTGTTCAGTTCTCCTTGCGCCTGTATGCTTCTGTATTTTGGTTACATATGCAATCTTTTTCTATCCACCATTCTGCTCTATCCAGTTCCTATCTCACAAAGCATTATAACATTACCCAATACAGTAGCAAAGAGGATCTGGGGTCCGCTTCACGTAGTAGATATAGCAAACTCAGATTCAAATCTGTAACTCTAAAAAGATCTATTCTAATGTCTGTAACGGCTGCTATAAAATAGTTTAATCAACTCTAAGTAGGTCCACTCAGAGTTGCGCAGGTGCGTAACAGGTATGAAAAGCCATTATCAGTATATCCCCGATTCAACAGGCAACAAACAGTGCCTATTTCACCCCACTGGAACTAGTACATATTCAATAAAACTAATTCAATCTGAAAATCTCACCCGAAGAAAAAAGACAATTAGGAGAAATTTATTGATACAATTAATTTGTCTTTGGCGCTCAGACCTCGGCAGGAAACATAGCGCCTAATTTTGATAGATATGCATGAACAGGAGCAAAGAATAGGGCTGTTTCCCCCCAGGCCTTAAATGGTGGTGGAATGGAGATAGATGAAGTTGGTCGGTCTGTAGACTGCTGGTTAGCGAGACGGTATGCTGAGCTTTATGGGGAGATCCAGTGGAGTGTGAGCTGATACTAGAGCTTTTCTCAGGGACCTGGAAGATGAAAGTACAGTTGGATAACACAGGTTGAGAGAACTTGTCCATGATGAGCAAGCATGAAGCGACAGTGGAGAGGAAAAACTCCCAGTTGGGAAGAAACCTCTGGCAGAACCAGGCTCAACATGGCGGTCTCCTGCCGGACTGGTTGAGATCTCTCGGATGAGTCCCAGAGGAATGACACGCTGATGGACCTTTAGCTACGATGTTGAAGGAGGGGCTGGAGGTTTGGTTGAAAGGGTGTCATCTGAATGAAGTCACACAGCGCATCCACCGCTTGCGCAACAGGAGCACACAAGTGGATCAGAGGGCTTTTAAGATAAACTATGGATGTCAGTTGGCTTTCATGGAGGTGTGGTTCAAAGCTGATTGGCTGTGTCGCAGGTGGATGTAGGGGAGCAATGAGTTTCTTCAGTTGAACTTTCACCTAGGCTCCATTACATATTAAAATGGTTAATCGACTAATACATATTAAAATACAATTTTATCAGCCTTTTAATTGTTGCCTCACTTTTTTAAAGCAAACAAGTAAATATTTAAAAAAAAATTTCCAAGGTTGACATTTTTTTTATTATGATCATGACATTTATTATGGCATGATTCAAAGCTGAAGCTGCTTTCCTCCCAATATATACATGTGAAAACTGTTTGTGTAAGCTGCAAATGTTATATTTGCCCTCATCTTATATTTCCAATAACCTCCTTTATGTCTGAGTATTGTCTTGCTCCAGTTCCATCACCTTCTTTATCATGTTGGTCCAGTGAACTAAAAAAAAACTGCGTTCTCTTGTCTGTCTTTTTACCAGGCAGAAGAACTTTGCCCGAGGCATTGAGCAGCAGCTCCCAGATGGCATGGTGGTGGCGTCGGTGCCAACGGAGGTTCAGTGCCATGAGGAGCTGTCAGACCCTGTGCCTGACCCAGAATATCTCACGGGTATGAAAACATATTTCATAGCTTTCTCTCTTGGCTCACATTTACACTGCTGTATCTCATTACTGGCTTGTATAAATCCAGGTATGTCAAAAGTAATTCTGCATCTGACAGCATATAATTAACGTGACATGATGTTTAAGATCACTGTGTTTGAACTATTTATGCTGTCATTTAAATTGTGATGTGTGGTCACAAAGTTGAATTGTAAGCTATGAGGAAACTGCCAACTTCCTGAAGCTCAGTCACACAACTCTTTAAGTTCAAGTGATTCCAAGTTGTGAGCGTAAGATCTGCTCTAGAGCTGATATTTGATTTGAGATAATATAAATCGGTTTTAACAGTCAAACACAGCTTCATAACTTTCATGAAGCAGGATAATTGCATTTGTAGCAAATTGTGGAATACATTATTACATTTCTATAGTATAGAATATTATATCCATCAAATAGACCGCAGATTATTTAAATCCTTTATTTTTGCTGATTATGTTATAATCAATTGGGGCAGCTGATCTGAGTGCAGATGTACGTATTTAGAGAATGGAGCAGCTGCACAGGGCAGCACAAAACTTTAAACGATGTTGATTTCCTAACACATGTTACTGAGTCTATAGCATAACTATGAAAGGCAACAAAACCCCAACAGCTCTCAAAACCTGGTACAGGTCTATCATGGGTGCTCATAACGTTCAGAACCAACACATTTGTTGGATTTTTTTTTTATGTTTGTTTTTTTTAAGCACCAGCAGAACGCATGCTTTGACAAAACTTTCTTCCAAAGGGCTCTTACATTTAGAACTCTGTACATGTTCAAGTGGTTTTAACCCTTATGCAAGTAAACACATTATGGTCAGATTGTCTAATTTGAGGCCAGACAAAAGGCATTTTTAAAAATGTTATTTTTTTTCAAGTCAAACACGTTTCAATATGATCAACTGATTTTAGATATGTATGCATTGCTATTGCTACTTTTCTTTTGCTTAACAGATCCCTTACTGCCAGTAGCTCTTGGATCTGTTCTGTTGCAAACAGTTGTCATTCAGAAAAAGCAAAGAAAAAAAAAGTCAGAAGCAGATTTAACTTCTAAACTCAATTTAGTCTGAACTCATGTTGTTAGATAATTAAGCTTGAACAATATAAAAAAAAACAGATTAAACAGGTCTCTTAATGTAAACTGAGATTAATTGAATAAATTATTTTCGATTGGAGTGCTGACTTGAATCTTTAAAAAGCTGATGTTAGAAATAAAGGGATGTCTTCTGCAGGACTTAATGCATAGATGAAAACCTTTGTCTTGATACACTTAATGTATCCTGCCTTTTTTAGTTTTGGGGCTTGTTGGTTGTTTGCCTCTGAAAAGTTCTACTCTGCTAATTAGAGTAACCAATGCACCTACCAATCTCCCATTTAGGCCTGTTCTAATGGTGCTTTCATGTGGTATCATGGCAAATGCCAAAAATTGATATGAAAATTAGACATGAACAGCCGACTCGTGTTGTCAGTTCCACTGGTAATCTAGAAAGATTTCATCCTCCCTGAGTTGTTGAGATGAGGTAAACTTTGACCGTTCAACATGGACAGAGAAACTATTCTGTGTTTATTCATCTATTTTTTTTCTAGTGTTTTCGTTACACTATCACAAGTACAGAGCAACAAGATTCACACTCTGCATTTAACCCATCAGTGGTCTGCCCTTTGGCGCGCCCAGAGGGCAGTGTGGTGTTAAGGGTCTTTGCTCAGAGAGCCAGAGTGGCAGTCTGTGAGAGTGGGTTTTGGACTCACAATCTCAGGATTCTAAGCTCTATGCTCTAACCACTAGGCCACCACTCCCCCAACTCTGCACCTGTATGATGAGTACTGAATTATTAAATGTTTTCTCTCATTGTGTTTTTGGCCAACACAATTTTGTCATGTACATTTTTTTTTTTACAATATAAACTTGTGTTGCTTTTAAAAACGATGGTTGATGTTTGATTTTATCAGATGCTAACTAGCAGTTTATCGATGATAGCAGCCGGTAGGGTACTTTGCAAACTGTGTTGTGTCGTAGACAATTTTCTCATTTGAGCTGTCATGTAAACCTGTAAGCCTATTATTTACTGGAACCAGCAGATGGCCCTGTAAGAGTCTTGCTCAAGTAGCAGGTCCAGATAATTTGTGGATCAGCCATGCTCCTCTTCTTTATTTCAACAAAAGCACAAAATGTGTTAGTTATATCTGTTTTGCAAGTGGAAGGGATCATCTTTACTGTACAAAATTAATGCTAAGTTCAACATGCAAGCAGCAGGAACAACAAAAATGTGCGTGCTTCTTTTTTGATGCTTGTACAAGTTCAGTTCTGACGCCAACTGAAGCATCTTTGCTGCACAGTCAAAAAGTGGGTCTGATACGCGTTGGGTGGAGCTACCCTATCCTTTCTTTGCCTCTAACAATGGCAGCTATATTTGCTGTGATCAGTGGGTAAAATATTGTTTTAATATGTTTTTTAGGTGAGAAAGTCTGCCTGAAAACTTCCTCTGTGCAGTCAGTTCATTGAAATTTCCATCCTGTCTTCAAATATTGTTTCGCTGTCGGAGCCACTAAGAGCTCTGTTACTAGGAACCACGTTCAGCAGCAGCCTCTGGTCCGGTCCTCTCTTTGCGGTTTTCTACTAGTGTTCAAACCAGCTGAAAGGCGTCTTTCATGTATGTAATCCAAATTGCAGGCACCACAATAATAAAATCGAACATATTTTACCGTTTCAACATTTTAAGTTAATTTAAGTTTTAAGTTTGCTGCACCAAGATGTGTGTCAACCATTGACCTTGCATGTAAATTAACTGCTTCTGTTGCCTCGGCTGCTTGAAGTTTCAACGTAGCAAAAGGAAGCATTATTCCTCCTAGCGCTGCTCACTGATGCAGTAGATTGTACTCCTGCCTTGCAGCAAGAATCTTCTGGTTTCATTTCCCGGTCTTTCTGCATGGGGTTTGCATTTTCTCCCTGTGCATGCATGGAAGAACTTACACATTCATCTCTGGGTACTCTCGCTTCTTCCCACACTACAAAAACATGACTTCTAGGTTGATTTGCTTCTCTAAATTCTCCTTGAGTGTGAGTGTGTGTGTGTGTTATCCTAGCAGGGGATGAAACATGACAGAAAATGAATGGATGGACAGATATTTATCCTGGCTTACTAAGCCTGCTTATACCTTTTTCTCTTAAACCAGCTTCACATACATCACTTTGCATGGCTGTTCTCTAATCCACTGCAAATAGCCAGTGCAGAAGAAGCCATCCATGCCTCACCTCATTTTTTAAAATTTACCAGATTCACTAAACTCTCCCCATGTCTGAGTTCTTGTGTGGTTCATCTGGTTTTTAAAGATTGACTAATTTTGCTTGGTAATTCGTCATAAATGGATTTGATACATATACCTAATGGACGACAGAGGGTAACTATACATCATGCTAAATGCAGCAGAATTGGTAGGAATTACCTCACTGGTTGGAAACACTTCTATTTGTAACTGAATAGGAGACACATGGACAGAGGCACCACCTGCTTTTCTTAGAGTCTGTGCTCAGTCTGCCCTCATCGGAGTGTAATCGGCTCCTGAGGTCTCGCTCACACTGCAGGCAAATGTGGCACAAATCTGATTTATTGGAGCATGGAGTGGTCAGATCAGGCTGTTTAACACAAGTAGGGATGCTCAAATGTAGTTCATATAAAACTTTTAAAGTCACATTTGAGCATCAATCTGTGGTGCAGTATCTGACTGGTACATGATCTTTTGCAATGACTGGACCAGGACAGATCAGATGGGACTTTGATATCACTCCCCATCAAATTTGTCATAAATATTCACTGCCCGACAAAAAACAGCAACAGTTTGCAAACAGACAAAAGCTTTTATACTAACACTACAAGACTGATTTAAAATTAAGTAATATTTGCCTTTTTAAGCAGGTACAGTAGCAAGACTATCTAACAATAGAATAAGTATTTAAAGTAAGACAACTGAACGTAAACTGTAAAAGGATAATCTTGTTTGTTTTAAATCATGTTTTAAATAAATCATCTTATTCCATTGTTAAAATTTCTTACTTACTTGTTCAAATAAAATGAATAAACACTTCATATTGGCCTTATTTTTCAAGTTCTTAGATCTTGTTGATAAACAGAGTTTAAACTTTATTGACATATTAGAACTATCAGGATATGGAAAATAGTTTGCATTTTAACTTTTGCATAGAACCCTTAAAAAAATAGCTTTAAAATGCTACACAGGTTAGTCAGCATGTGGTTAGAGGCCTCTGTTGCAGTTTAGTACATTGGTTTGTAAATAGAATTGCTTGTAGAATTGAGGTGAGGTACTAACATATGCACTTAAAAGTTGTTGTTGTTGAGAAACTAAAGTTCTTAATAAACGTGACCTTTGTGAGGTTGGTAAAATCCCTCCCCCACCATTTCTGTGTGCGGAAATGGCAGTCAGATCTCCCTAAAATGCTACAATAAAGAGTTTCACTTTCTTTTATTGATGTGTTTCACACACAGCACTCGCTAACATAATAAATGGCTTTTGTTGTTGACTTCAAAAATAACACCAATTTCTCCAGGTTTAATGGTGTCCTGCATGTGACAGAGCTTCGTTTTTATGCACATGCATGTCAGCCACTGACGTAAGATACAGGCCGCGTTTTAAAGGGTATTGGAGCAACCACACACACACTAAAAAAAATTAGATTCCTGGAAAAAAAAATCTGATTTTACAACTAAGAACTGCAGTGTGATGATGGTGATGTTCTAGACTGTTTCATTCTGTCCTGAACCATCAGCTATAAGCATGCTACTGCTTGTCACCAGCTAATTCTTCCCTGAGCTTCCTGTTCAATCTTGCTACTAGTCAGCCTACTGGGATTCCTCATTGTTGTACAAACTTTTAATAAACCTTTTAATCAAAATCAGCATCTAACTTTATGTTGGGTCCTAAGGGTATTGCAGTACATTCTGCCCATCGTGG